CGCCCATCTCGGTCAACTTCCTCCATTCTCCTTTCCCACCCAAACAGCTTGTTTGACCTCTCTTGCCCCTGGGGAGGACAGAGACTGGGAAGAAGTCCAGCTTCGGAGTGGGGCAGGCTCCTGACAGGGCCAGACTCGGGCCTACTCATCTCCAGAGCCTCAGTAACCCCCTACCCCTGCCACACCGCTCCCTCCATCCCCACCTCCCCTCCAGCTCCTCTCTGTCAACACCGGAACTAGCTACAACACAGGAAGTGGTTTCACTCTTTGGGATCCCCTCCCCCAAACGAGGTTTCTTCCCTCCCCAAGACTGATCCTGAGTGGCCCTTCTCACCGTCTCTCTTCGACTTCCCGGGCCAGGGAAAGGCAGGGTTCTAGAGGGAAGCAGAAGGCGCGGACCGAGAGGCACTGGTGTCAGGCCCAATGCTTCTGTCCTAACTCTGGGCCGACACACGGGAAGTAGTTGGAGACTGGTTGCTGAGTGCTTTTCACTACCCTCAAGCGTTACAAGCAGAGGAGGGGACCAGAGTGAACCAAGTGTGAGAAAATGTCCCTGGAAGCTGAGCTAGTGTAGGCAAAGGCCACAGGAAGACTTGCCTGGGGTCATGAGAGTGGAAGACAGAACTTAGTTTGGCTTTTGGCCAGTTCTGGTTAGCCCCAGGAGGAGCAGGACAGACATCTGGACTCTTCAAATGGCTTCCCGCCGGCTGTGTGACGTTATGAAGTTAGAGCCAAGTGGCTTGGGGCATGAAAGGGGGTGAAGAGAGCCCGGCAATCTTAGGTGAATGAAACCTCTGTGCCTCCATTTGTGACCGGGTAAAGTGGCCCTTGTGGCACTTACCTCATAGGATTGGGGAGGGTTAATTGTAGTGAGCACTTGGCACCTGGCAGATACTCTATAAAGGGTGGCTGGTAATCTTCCAGAATGCTCCTGGGCCTTACGTCACAGGCTTATCAGGGTTGGGGTAAAGCCATGAGGATGAAATGCGTGTCCAAGACCTTAGCGGTCTCCTAAATGCCCAAGGATGGGGGGCACAGCATCTATCACCTTGTATGTTTGTTTTGACTGTTAAGAGATTCTCGCTTTCCAGATGACACCCCCCAAACTGGGACCCCCAGATTGTTTCCCCTTAATTTGTATCTAAAAGCCACCTGCCTTTATGGATGAACCTAGGGTACTAGATTTCCCAAACACTATGAGTTCCTCAGACAAATAAAGTAACACTTTAAATCAGCTTTATTTATTGTTCATGAGTTTGGGGTTCCTAGAGATAGCAGTAGCTAGAGAGGAAGGCCTCGTCCCTGCATCACTTTCCTGGGGGCAGGAGTGGCAGAGGGGGGGCGAGGAGTCATCAGCTGGAGGGGCCACTGGCCACGCTTCATCGTCAACACAAGGCCCAGCACATAGTAGGGGCTCAATAAATATTTGCCAGCTACTCGCGGGCAGTGGGCAGCAGAGACTTGGTTTGGGAAACCATACACAGGGAACATTTTTACACCCAGTTTGCCCACAGTTCTTGGTCCCAGTTGAGGGATTCTCAAAGTCCACCTTGTCCTCTTGTAGCTGCTCTACTTTCCAGGAAAAAAAAAAAAAAAAGCCCGGCGTGTGTGCGTCCCTCGGGCATCCTGAGCCCTGTCCCCAGCGCTGTGCACTCTGGCTCCACGGGGAACGCAGTCAGCAGAGCGCTCGCTAAGCCTGGCGTCTCGCAGCCTGCCCGTCACTCCCTTCCCTCCGTGCAGCTGGCTGCTTCTGACCCGGGCACCTCTGGGTGGACTGCAAGACCCCAGGCAACTGGAGGGGACCCG